ACTCAATATTAAGGAATTATTTACTCAACACAAGCGCCTATATCTTGCTCAAAAATGACTGTTTTTGCTCTATTTCAAGTGCACTGAGTAATTTGCACATGAAACTTGACCAAAAACACTTGGTCAAATTTTGTGTTACAAGAAAAAATTATTCACAAATAAATCTGGATTCAACTTACATCACCACAACAGTACAGTTCACATATATTGTTTCATAAACCATTAAAGAAAACTTTTCCCATTGTATTATTTGAAATCCCATTTAATTAAGTCTACTGTACTTTAAATAAACTTGTGATAATGGCAATTAAAGCTGTTACCTCATTGCCGAGGCCAATCAGGTGCCAGTGGATCTTGTTGCCTTGACACACGCTCAGTCCAGGCAGGTTACCGTAAAGAAAACCATTTATCCCTGTGACATAAGCAAAGTATTAAACGTTTCAGTTTGCATGCAGATATTAAAGCATCAGCAGCTCTCACCGTGCATCTTGTTGCTCTCTATAAAGTCTTCGTCCTCCTTCAGGTCTCTGATGGGATTTGTGATGTGAGTCCTGATATTGTCGTCCAGGTACCAGCTCAGGTTCTCATCCGACACCATGAACAGCAGAGCGTAGGTGTAGTCGGCTGCCCTGTCACCATGGATGTCCAGAGTTCCTACACAACAGATAAAATCAGATTTTCAAATAAGTAGTCCCTTTTATATTAGTAAAAGATTTACAATTTATCTCAAAGTCAGTAGAAGATGCAATATTAGGCTAATTTCCGAAATGTCCTTGGTTTTCTAGAACATTTCTTAAACGAGTAGAAAAAATTCTGAGATTTTTTTTTTGTTGAGGTTTTTAAATTTTCTTGTTTTCTCATAATGTTTGAGTTTTTCGTCTGAAATTTATCTCCTTTTTTCTATCAATAATGGCCCTAAAAGCAGCCAGGCGGACTACAGCTCAGAAAATCAACATCAGGATTTCAATTTCTTGTTTGCTGATTGGCCCAGTTGAAATTCTAATCCAAGTCAATGGGAGAAATCTCAGACTGAGCTTCGAAGCAAGGTTTGAATCGAGTGGATTACGTATGAAGGCATCGGCCAGGCTGCAGTTGTTACAGTTTTATTGAAAAAGTACCTCGCTTGCAGATGAGCAGAGGTCCTATAAGTCCAGAGGCGATGTCTTTTGGGGGGCGGACATGAGAGTGGTAGAACCTGGTCATGCAGTTACTGTCTTCAGCTGTAGGGCTGTGGGATTCTGGGAGAGTCCACTCATACGTCTGAGTGGCACCAGGAGCCACTGCGTCGTCCCTCTTCTGCAGTGGACTTGTGCCGTCTGGGTACAAGGCTCCTGGAAGCACAAACAAACTGTTCATGTAAATCTAAAAATTTGAATGTACGTAGAAATACAGAAGAGGGGAAAAAACATTTTCCTCAGAATTATGACTTTAATCTAAGAATTCTGACTTTTACTTAAAAAAAAAACAAAAAAAACTATTTCTATAATTTCATACTTTTTTTAAAAAAATCTAAAAATTATAACTTTTTCTAAAAATTCAGATTTTTTTCTAAAAATTCAGATTTCTTTAAAAATCTGACTTTTTTTATAATAAGAATTATTTTTTCTTCACCACTTTTGGCATGTTTGGCACAAAAAAAAAAAAAATCACCGAAAAGGATGCTATTAAGTCACAATATAGGATGTACATATTGTAATAATGAATTATTTGTGTTTTTGCAGTTCACTGCAAAAACACAAAATCTTACCAAAGTATTTCACCTGAAATGAAACAAAACTTATTTATAAGCAAAATTTCAGCAAGAAATAGAAACTGTCAGCAATTTCTAATATTGATGAAAAAGTTCCACTTCCTCTGGCAGATTACTTCACTTATAACTCAACATTTTTTCTTGTTGTTGCTACAACTGGAATAATCTGCCTGTGGAACTGGGTTGCTAGGTGACGGGTTGGGGTTGGCTGGGGTTGCTAAGTAACAGCACAAGCGGAACCAGAACTTTTCCATAAAGGAGACAGAATGAGGTTTCTGTCCTCCTGTGTTTTTTGGTTTTCGTACCTTCATTCCCTTTGCTGTAGTTGAGTCCGTGGGCGTGGACGCTGTACGGTCTGGAGGCTGAGTTTCTCAGGTGGACGATGACGGTGTCGCCGTCCTCCGCCATCATCAAGGGGCCCAGATATCCCAGCCATTCTGGCTTCTGCAGTTCCGTCCTGTAGGTGGCGTCGCTGTACTGTTTGTAAACTGCCTTTTTGTAGACTGGGCCAATGCGCTGTGGACGTTTTACTAAAAACACTGAAGCTTCTCTGCAAAGAGAGAAAACTATTAACGTTGTTTTCATGTCATGGAAATCAAACGTTGTGATCGGCTGTTTTAACCATAACGGGCGAGATGATCAGTTAATACCTTGACTCTGTTTTCAGTTTAACATAAAGCATCATTCTGCCTGGGACGCGTTAAAAGATTTAAACTTTAAACCTTCACTTCCCCTCAGCTAAACATAAATATCTTTGGTACCTATGGAAACATATCAGACTTTTCACTGTAAAATCTGAAATCTTACTCATTGGAAAATGAGTCGTTTCAAACAGGCGCTGCCCCTTTCCTAGCAACCACAGCCTGTTACCTAGCAACCACAGCCTGTTACCTAGCAACCACAGCCCATTACCTAGCAACCACAGCATGTTACCTAGCAACCTCTGCAAAGCCCAGGCTATTGCCTAGCAACCAGCATGTTTGCTAGCTGGTTTTATCGCTGTCAGTGCAGTGTAATGTCTGAAAAATATATTATCAACTGACAATTTCTTATTGTTTTATTACAATTGGATGAAAAAATAAATGTGTGTGTTTTAAAAATCAAACAATTTTAGACATGTATAAATAAGTTCAAGTAAAACACAGAATCTGCCCAGTTTTGTAGATGTAGCCAAACCCTATTGGGGCAAAAAGTTTATTTTTTCAAATTATTATTATGCTTTGCTTTACCTCACCTGCATAAATCATTGACAAGCAATGTGGATCTATGATTTCCAAAAGTTTGTAGCCTTATTTATGATATTTCTAAAAGGTTCTGAAAGTTTTATATAATGTATAATACAAAAAAATAAAACTCTAGACCAAAAATACGTGGTAAGACTTTGTTTTTGCAGTTTAGATTTCTTTGCATGTTAAAATTAACAGGAAACATTTCATATGTAAATTCTGCCAAAGTTTTGTGTGGAGTTTTTTTACATGCTACACATTTAGTCACAATCACTTTTACATGCATTTTGTATTTCCAATATGATTACCATACTTTAGAAAAGTAAAATTTTGCCTATTAAAATGTCAATTTAAAAATAAAATCATTCTGTCTTTATAAAATAGTAAAAAGAGCAGTTATTTCACGGGCGTACGTACTCATCCTCCTGCAGTGTTCGATTCTGGATGACGTTCTTCCCAGTCGGAGCATAATTCCAAGAAACCTCCTCTATCTTTAGAAAATACTCTCTTGTCATTCCTGCAGCACATATTGCAGCACAACACAACAACAACACAACTCCGAATTTCTTCATTTTCACCAATTAAAACATCAGAGAAACATTAACAAGTGAAATTGATGCACAGACAGCTGCTCTGTGTGCTTTCCCTGTCTTTTTATACAGCTTCCACAGCCAGGCTGCTGAGATCAGGCAAAAAGCCAAAGGGGTCACTGACCATCAGACAATGCAAGACAACCATTTGATCAGCGGGTCGCACTTACATAACGTCAAGAAACATCCAAACTTTAACCAGAAAACAGCTTCATCAAACGTGATTCAAAACGTTCAAACGATTTCTGAAAATCTGCAGCAGTTTGTCGTTTCCTGGACCAGTTTGGATTAGTTTCAAACTGGACCGGTTTAGATTAGTTGCAGACGTCTTGTGAGGACGGACTGTGTGAAAAGTCAGAGGAGACGTTGAAGAGTGGATTGTAAATCCTCAAAAAACAAAAACTAAACAGAATGAACTTCTTCTGTTTTTACATTTTGTTTGTTCTCACGGTTAAACATCAGTGACACCAAAGTTCAAAAGTCTAACCAATGAGGAAAAAACTTTGACTTTTGATCCAATCAATACTGTTTTTTTCCTCCAATGTCACAGAGAAATAGGTTAACTACCTATTTCATTTCCTAATAATTATTCAGTAAGAAAAAAACATAATCATATAATCCCCAAATGGATTTATCTGTATTAAAAAGTTTGAAATAATGAATGATTTAGTTATTTCCTAATGAGGTAAGTCCTATCTTGTCTGACAAAGTGTAAAGGTAACATTTACTCAATTTGGGGCAACACCAATCAATAATGGGTACCTGTGGAAAGTCCAGAATGAAAACATGAAGGAATGGATTTCGAATATACGCGTTTGCCTTTTCTGACACATTTAATCCCTTTTGTTTTACATGTAATTTCTTCAGAAATTATTAAAATAATGTTATTTCTAAAACCCAGAAAAAATGTCAATGAAAGCAGTCATGGTAAATAAACGGGTGGATGTAAAACCTTGTCGAAAGACAAAGAACCACACAATCAAATACTGTTTTTGTATTATGAAGTGCTCTCATTGATGTCTGATGTTTTTTGCTTTTTATCTCTAGTAAATAAAGTGGGTTTAATATCAGGCAACAAAAACAAAATACTTTTTTAATTATTTAATAAAAGGTACCAACAAAAATCTGAACTCTAACTGGAGAAAATCCAGGACACCCCAGAGCTAAAACCAGCTGACCAAATGTTCTGGGTTGCCAGGAAACCGGGTTTGTCTTAGCGGGGGTTGCTAGTGACTTTGTGACTTTGCATTCGGGAGATTTTTGAAACAGATCATTTTCAAGTTGCCAAAAAACAAACAATTGGTTAAAAAAAAAAAAATAGAATTTTTTTTTTTTATTTGATTTTTTTTTTGTCAAACATTTGCAAGGAAAACCGTGGCGCTACGTAATGGTTTTGAATGGAAGTGAAACTTTCCAAAAATCACACCAACTGTATAAATGACGTTGAAATGATTTATTTACTCAATGCAGCACAAATAAACAGCACATTATAAAAAAGAACTAAAACAAATATAAAATGTCATTTAATGATGAACCACCAACTGACAGATATCAAGGTATCAATTTACAGCAACAGGTAAAAAACACAAGACACCTAAAAATGTGATAAAAGGACACTTGAAGGTTGAAGGTACTTTGATTCACACACTGCATAAAGAAGACATCCGACTTTATTTTGTGAGACAGAGGCGAGTAATTTAAAAGACAACCAATCAACAACAACAAAGTCACTCCACATTTCTTACTTCTATTTCATTGCTGCCTCAACGTTATTTTAGTCCTGATCGAAGAGACAAGTACAAAAAGTCACATTTGCTGTTTTACATACATCATTTATAAATATCACAACATTTTTTGCATGTATTTCTAAGTTAGCTCTGCACAATCACTTATGTTGATTGCAACAACAAAAAAATCACAAAATTGTAAAATCCTGCAGCGGCTCCAACAACCCACTGTGGATACAAAACACTGGAGAAAATGTCTGGCAAAAAAAATCCTTTTGAGAGTAACCTCAGAAATTCCCTAGAAAATACTTGGAATTTCTAAGTTTTAAAAGAAAAAAAATCAGAAATTTTGAGCTTAATCTCAGAAATGTTTGTGTGAAAACTTGAAAATTTCTGGTCTTGAAAAGTTGAACATTTGCTAGAAAAAAACTCAGAACTATTGAGGTGGATCTCAGAAATTTCCAAAAAAAAAAAAGCTTGAAAATTTCTGAGTTTCAAAAGCGGAAAATCTTCGACTTTTGACACTCAAAACCTATATCCAATTCTAGAAAAGTTTCATCTCAAAATTTCAGATTTTTGTACTTAAATTACAAATTTTTCAAGTTCAGGAATTTCAAAGATTTTCTCAAAAGTTTTTGAGCTTAAACTCTAATTTATGAGTCTTTGGGTGGAAATTGACACTTTTTTTCTCTACTTACAATGTTGCAATGTTGTTCTTTATTATTTAATTTTAAGAAGCACATATTGAGACACAGCAATTTATTAAAATTTGAACATTTTGTTATTTGTTTTATGAATGCATTCTGGTACAGCCGGCCCTTTGAGAACACTGATGGTCTTGATAAGGCCCAAAATGAAAATGAGTTTGACGTCCCTGTTGTAGCTCATCAGCATGAAACAGCTGATAGGCTCAGCGTCTGTGCAGATGTGCCTCTCTAAGCGTTGAGACTGTACTCCTGCTTGTAGCAGCAGGGCCGGCAGATGGCGTTCACTAAACCGTTTCCAAGCTGTAAAAGGCAGATAATGAACTCCAGCACTGCGAGGCCCAGTAACACGCACAGCAGAGTGACGTTCCATTCTACGATGTTGATGGGCTGGAGGCACCGCGACCAAATTTCAGGCTGCAACAGATACCTGGGAAAGTGACAATCAAAGAAAAAAAGATTGGTTCTAAGAGCTGGTTATAAGTGAAATAATCTGCCAGTAGAACTTGTACTTTTTCACAAATATTAAGGAATTATTGACTTCAAACAATCAGCTATATCTTTCTGAAAAGTTACTCGTAAGTTCGTTTTGTGCTAAGATATTTGCACTACAAGCTAGAGCAAAATGTTTTGTATAATTTTATATTTTTATGCTGTAGATATCTAAGAATGATTGAAAATACCAGATCAGCTACAGATGAGCATTAGGCCAAAGATGAAACAGATGGAAAAACTTTTCTTCTTGTATTGTTTATGAATAAATAAAAACGTATTTGCACAGTGCAAAAACACAAAGTCTAGTTTCTAGTGAAAGTAAGGGAAAACTGATTTACAAATAATTTTTCAGCAAGATATAGGAGCTAGCTTAAAGTAAATAATTTCTTAAAATTGGTGAAAAAGTACTAGTTACACTGCACCGTTACCTAGCAACACCTGCCAAGCCCGGCCTGTCACCTAGCAACCTGGTTGTAGTTACAATGTAAGATTATTTCACCTGTAGGTGGGAAAATGTCTTCATGTGAAACAATCTGCCAGTAGAACTAGTACATTTTTTTCATCAAAAGTACTAATTGTGTGGAAAATATGCAAAACTTTTTTTGGTTTAATTACAGTTTTGAATATGTTGTTCTTTCAGCAAATTTCTTTTTTTTAGTTTGTTTACTCCAGTTAACAATTACTAAGTTAGTTGGCAATTACTTGAATACTAAATTAGATTAATTGTTTCAGCCCTGATCTAGAACTTTGTAGAAGTGCTGATGGCGTGCGTCCTGTTTCATCCGACATAAAACTACAGCAGCATTTTAAAAAAGAAAAGTCTTAAGATATGAAAATCCTGCAACAACGATAATCTTCTTGATGTAAAATGTTTTGGGTTTTTTTTTTTTGTAATTGTTATTATTGGGTGTCCTCACCTGCCGCGCTGGTCTGCGAAGGGGTACGACCACCCATAGGAGGTGAAGCAGTTGGGGCCCTGAACCAAAGCCAGGCCTGAAATGACGAAGCAGTAACCAGAGCCCAGGAGGCCGACGATGGCCGCCAGAACCGAGCCGCACATCTGTGAAGGCACAGCGGCACACAAGCAGCATTTTAAAAACAAATGAATGTTTACACTGCAAAAACACAAAATCCTACCAAGTATTTTGGTCTAGTTTTCACTGTGAATATGTCAGTTCACACATTTACAGTAGATTTTTTCACTAGTTTCTTGTGAAAAAATATTTTCACTAGAAACGACTAAAAAATACCTTTGTGTTTTGCAGTGTGGATTTGGTTAGGAGTGTATGCTGCAATGAATAAATGTTGACCGTTTCGCTTCATCCCTGCCGCGTTTGAAAATCAGGCACAGCTGCTACACACACACGTATAGACGCAGCTGTGAATGTGCCTTCAATGGTATTCAAGCTCACTTTGGTGTGTGTTTCTTAACAATGGGAGCCTTGTTCAGTAATCATGGGAGACTCAGCATTAGCACTTCAGCTCTATCTGATAGAAGTCTAGTTTTAGCATGGTTATTACTAACGGTCCTGGAGGGCTGGTATCCTACATGTTTTAGTTTTCTCAAAGGTTTAACGCACCTGAATCAAATGATGGCCCAAGAAGAACATTGACATGCTGAAAAGGTTGTTAGCGCCACCAGGGAGAGAATAAAACATGGAGGACGCCGGCCCTCGTCTGTGGACACCTCTGACCGAATGCATTACTCTCAAAGCAGTGACAACAAAATAATAATAAAATTGCAAATATGCCGTTGTATACTAAATTAAACAGAAACGGATACAAATGTCAAAATGTTTCACTCAGAAACAGAATGAAGTGCTAGCTCACATTAGCACTTAAGCTCTATCCAATAGAAATAAAGTTTTATCTTTGTTATTGACTACTTATTAAACTGAAATACTCCAATAATTACACACTGATTGAGAAAACTCTGAAAGCAATAGCAATGTTGAAATGTGTCATTCAAACACAGAGCAAAATGTCAGCTAAAGAGTTAGCATTAGCATTTCGCCAGATAGGATAGGAATCTAGTTTTATCTTGGTTATTGACTTCTTTAATGCGTTACTCTGAAAGGCGTGAAAACAAAATTATAATAATAGAACCTCAAAAAAGTCGAACTGGAAAAAAAGACATGTTGAAAAGTTAGCTTGTCAGATAAACTGAATGCTCCAGATGTTTATCAGATCCCATAAACAGTTGCTGGTGCAGAATGTTCCCCTGCTGTATATTTTGAGCACTGGTCCCAGCGTAAAAAGTCTCCTACCATTAAGCTTTCATTCCAGCAGCAGCTGCATTTCCCTAGAGTGATAAAGGCCACAGCTGGAATCAGCATCTGGAAAGACAGAATGGATTCTTCAGTTACACTGTCTGAACAATTACATTTTTCCCCTTTATCTAATTTATTATTCTGTTCCCAGACAATTTAATAATAAAAAATAACATTATGAAGTTTCTGCATGTAACTGTAGATTTAAGTTTTCAATGCAAAACAGGTTTAATTAATTAAAACAGCTATACACCATTACAAAAATTAATTTTAAAAGAAATAACTATTTATTTATTAAACACAAAATTTTACCAAGTATTTTTGGTCAGATTTCTAGTGCAAATATAAGATTTGCACTAGATTTCTAGTGGAAATATCTTAGTGCACTTCAGTTAACTAACTTAACTAACTTAAGCCCAGCTCGTTACCTAGCAACTCCAGTGAAGCCTGACCTGTTACCTAGCAACCTGGACACCTAATTTGCTAAATAAAAACACAAATTGTTAAAAAACGTTTTTTGCCACAAACTTTTGGAGCTAGTTCTGGTGGTTTTTGTGGCCATATAGTTATAAAAGTCACACGATCAACAACAGGATGTTACTGCTGGTGGAAACAAAAAAGAAGATGACAGGAAGTGGTTGAATGATGATGTTTTTTTAACAACTTATCAAGTGAACAAACTTATTTACTTATGAATTTTAACTACATTTCTTATTCAATGGAAAAACCGCAATTGAAAAATTGCGATTTTTCAACCCCTGGATAATATAGTCAAAGTTTTGCACGCATTTGTAACGGAAACACAGTTTGTTCTTTTCTCCCCTGTCTGGGAGGAAGAGAGGGACTCTGATCCTCTTTCCTGTGTGGCCGTCCGTCTCCCAGAGACATTAAATCACATTCTAACAAAAGGAAAGGATGGTCCAAAGTGTTTTCCACACCCGCAAATTGCTCAACCATCAGAATTTAGTTAGATACACATCCTGCATGTCAACAGAAGAGATTAAAAGGGAGTCTGACGACCCGGAGGGAAGTGTGCGGCCTGTGAAGAGGAGAGAAGGAAAAACGGAGGGAGGATGCATGTGGGAGAGGAAGTTGGGGGAGCTGCAGATGTTCTCAGAGGGATTCAGTTTGTTCTTTGACCTACTAACGTTATGTGATTTCCATCCATCTACTTAGAAATAAGCAGCCAAAAATATGAAACTACTCAGATCTCACAGTTTTCAGATTCTGGAAAGAATGACCTAATTGATAATTGAAATTTTTTAAATGTCCTCAAGGATTTTTGACATGGAGAAGCTTGAAATCTAAAACAAAGTTACATGATTACCACTAGATATACCTCGAAATGTATGTTTCCAATTTTTATTCAACTTAAAACACATAAAAACACGAATAACTTAGTGAAAATATCTTAGCACACTTGAAACAAAACTTTATACATATCAATTTAAAGGAATTTTTGACTTCAATCAAGCACTTAAATCTCACTGAAAAGTTGCTTATAAATTAGTTTATTCTTATTTCAAGTGTACCAAGATATCTTTACTAAAACCTAGAACAAAAAGTACAATTTTGTACATACTTAGTAAAACGTTGTACAGCGCAAACCGCGGCAAAACAACCAGCTGACCAAATGTGTTGGTTGCAAGGTAACAAGCTAGGCTTTTGCTCGGGTTGCTAGGTAACAGACTGAGCTTTTGCTAAAGTTAATTTACTATTGATAGTTTCTCTAGAAACTAGATCAAAATACTTGGTAACATTTTGTGTTTTCGTTTGTGTACTTCTTTCTGTTTATGGTTCTGTGTTTATGGTATTTATAGACCAAAACTGATTTGAGTTTCCAGCATTGAATAGAAAATCAGAGTAATTACTATTTAACTTTAAAATCATCAATCAGAGAAGATCAATGGGAAATTGGATGATTTCTATTCTTGATCCTTGATCGATTGATTGTTATATTTCTTTGATTTTTAGCACAAATAGAAAAGGATTATTTGTAAACCTCTCCTGTGTAAATCAAATTGCTCTTGTGGTCCTCCGTCCAGCAGGGGACGCTAAGCAGTTTAATTATACCTCAGTTCTGACCAGTTTCAGTTCTTTAACTGATCATCACGCTTCATTCACATATTATTTAAATTATCTTGTTTTATGTCCTTTTACTCTACCTGCATCTGGCTTAATTAGCACAGAGCGTCATAATTTACACTTTGTGGACTGCAATTTAGGTTTACAGAAGAATAGTTGAAAAACAAAGTTCATTTTAGTTGTGAGGCACAATCTTTCTGTTGTTGCTGGGTGAAAAAGAGCAGCTACTTTCTGCTCAATTAGAGCAAAACCCCATCAGCTCAGCGGCGCAAAGCAGACAGATTAACTGTAGCTGTACAAAACGCTTCTTTGTTCCCACTGAACAACTGCAAACTCTCTCAGACTGAATGGTGTCAAAGGGGAACAATTTATACTCTGTAATTTTTCAGGGCTAAATCCACTTTAATTTACTAAAAAAAAATACATTAAAAGACACGAAATAGCTCTGCCAACAATACACTGCAAAAACAACAAATATTGTTGTTTTTATAATTTCTAGTGAAAACATCTCAGTAAAATAAGACAAAACTAACTTACAAGTGACTTTTCAGCAACAAAAAAAGGGGCTTGTTTTAAGTAAAAAATTCCTTCATATTGATGAGAAATGCCAGGTAAAAGTGAAATAATCTACCATTTGAACTAAATTAAGAAATTATTTCTTTAAAACAAGATTCTATAACTTGGCAAAAAGTTAACTGTAAGTTTGTTTTGTCTCATTTCAAATCTACTAAGATATTTGAACTTAAAAATTAAAGAAAATAGTCGGTAAGATTTTGAGTTTTTGCAGTGTATTCTCTGATGAATGAGACAGGAAGGGAGGAAACGCTTCAGTTCACAAGCCATGCATATCAAAAACTATTCCTAAAGTTCTGTACTTTAGGTTTTTAAATATGACTATAAATATGTATTTTGAGTAAGTATGGAAGATTATTGGTGTATATTGCTTTAGGCTTCCCCATTAATAGATTTATAACATTAATAATATTTTATGTGTAGAGCAATTTTTTACACAATTAAACATGAAACAGCATCTTACAAGACACAAGGTACAAGTAAAAACAATTTAAATCAATTTGAAATGATTTAAATTTCAAATTGATTTAAATAAACTTGATTTACTTAACTGCAATAATAATAATAATACAAAAGAAATCTTTTTTTGTTTTGTTTTGTTTTAAATAGACAAAAAGTAAAAGCAAGAAAAAATACAAATTTCAAAATGATCATCCTATTGACATCTAATTTTACATTATTTGTTTGGAAAAAAAGAAGGTAGAAGATACAAGATTTTATCATTTTCATACTAAAACCTACAAATATTTACATTTTTTCATTACAGATACATTCTTAAATTATTTGCTTTGAATGACAGCTAAATCTCACATTCTCATCCTTAAATGTACAATTATTTAACATCAACATCTAACATAACAACATCAACATTTAACATAACATCAATATCATTTTTAAACACTTGCTTTTTAGTCCATTAGTTTTAACTAATGATTTAAAAGTATAAAAATTTCTGATCATAAAACCTAACTAAAGTTTCTCTATGATAAATGTTTGTACTCACCAGCAGCCCTCCGCCTCCCAGTCCACCAAAGTACCAGATGTATCCGGCGAGTCGGTCCTGCTGGATGTAGGAGATTTCTCCCATTGGAAACAGCAGCAGCAGGTTGGCCAAAATGCTGCAAAGTGCCAGCGGCAGCAGAGCCAGGCCCAAAGACCGGGCAAAACCCACCGAGCAGCACATCGAAAAACAAAAACACCAAAATCACAACGAGCAGAAGGAGACGGCGGAGCGGCTGGAGCGGCTCTGGAGAGGCTCTGGAGAGGCTCTGGAGAGGCTCTGGGAAGGAGAGGAGGGGAACAGCTGAAGGGACAGGAAGCCGGTTGTGTCGGAGTTAAAGGGTGGAGGGGGTTCTGGCATGACAAAGAAGGAAACACGTTCATGCTGACGAGACCCGAACGAACGGAAAAACAAAAATCCAACGAGGATGACGGAGTTTCCCTCAGGCCGTTAGTCAGCAGAGACAAAATCAGGATGGAAAAAAATAACTTCAGTCAGAAGAAACAGCTGACATGTTTAATGACGTAAATACAAGAAAAAACTTGAAATAAGAATAGAATAGTCGAAATAATAGAAAATAAAGTTAAAATATTTGAAGAATAAAGTCGTATAATTACAAGAAGAAAGTCAATATTTTGAGAATAAAGTTGTAGCACTACTATTTTATTCTTGTAATATTATGAGTATTATCTTTTTTTCTGGTGCGGCAGTTTGCAAAATGTTCTAATACTTAAATTATTCACAGAAAACAAGATTTATGATGGAGTGTTTGGGCAATACGAAGGAAAAACAGTTAAAATAACATGAGGAGAACCAGGTTTTTATATCCTTGATCATTTCTGTATACATTGTGGGGACCAAATGTCCCAATGGACAAGTTTCTGGATCCTCATGAGGGCAAATGCTGCCTTGGGGTTTGAGGCTAAGTATGTGATGGTTAGTTAAGGTAAGGTAACTAACCTTAGTAACCTTAAGGTAACTAACCTCACCTAAAGTTAGTTATGGTAAGGCCTAGGTATGTGATGGTTAGTTAAGGTAAGGTAACTAACCTTAGTAACCTTAAGGTAACTAACCTCACCTAAAGTTAGTTATGGTGAGGCCTAGGTATGTGATGGTTAGTTATGGTGAGGCCTAGGTATGTGACGGTTAGTTATGGTAAGGCCTAGGTATGTGATGGTTAGTTATGGTGAGGCCTAGGTATGTGATGGTTAGTTATGGGAAGGTAACTAACCTTAGTAACCTTAAGGTAACTAACCTCACCTAACGTTAGTTATGGTGAGGCCTAGGTATGTGATGGTTAGTTATGGGAAGGTAACTAACCTTAGTAACCTTAAGGTAACTAACCTCACCTAATGTTAGTTATGGTGAGGCCTAGGTATGTGATGGTTAGTTATGGTGAGGCCTAGGTATGTGATGGTTAGTTGTGGTAAGGTAACTAACCTTAGTAACCTTAAGGTAACTAACCTCACCTAATGTTAGTTATGGTAAGGCCTAGGTATGTGATGGTTAGTTATGGTGAGGCCTAGGTATGTGATGGTTAGTTGTGGTAAGGTAACTAACCTTAGTAACCTTAAGGTAACTAACCTCACCTAAAGTTAGTTATGGTAAGGCCTAGGTATGTGATGGTTAGTTATGGTGAGGCCTAGGTATGTGATGGTTAGTTATGGTGAGGCCTAGGTATGTGATGGTTAGTTATGGTAAGGTAACTAACCTTAGTAACCTTAAGGTAACTAACCTCACCTAAAGTTAGTTATGGTAAGGCCTAGGTATGTGATGGTTAGTTATGGTGAGGCCTAGGTATGTGATGGTTAGTTATGGTGAGGCCTAGGTATGTGATGGTTAGTTATGGTGAGGCCTAGGTATGTGATGGTTAGTTATGGTGAGGCCTAGGTATGTGACGGTTAGTTATGGTGAGGCCTAGGTATGTGATGGTTAGTTATGGTGAGGCCTAGGTATGTGATGGTTAGTTATGGTAAGGTAACTAACCTTAGTAACCTTAAGGTAACTACCCTCACCTAAAGTTAGTTATGGTGAGGCCTAGGTATGTGATGGTTAGTTATGGTAAAGTAACTAACCTTAGTAACCTTAAGGTAACTAACCTCACCTAAAGTTAGTTATGGTAAGGCCTAGGTATGTGATGGTTAGTTATGGTGAGGCCTAGGTATGTGATGGTTAGTTATGGTGAGGCCTAGATATATGATGGTTAGTTATGGTGAGGCCTAGGTATGTGATGGTTAGTTATGGTGAGGCCTAGGTATGTGATGGTTAGTTATGGTGAGGCCTAGATATATGATGGTTAGTTATGGTGAGGCCTAGGTATGTGATGGTTAGTTATGGTGAGGCCTAGGTATGTGATGGTTAGTTATGGTGAGGCCTAGATATATGATGGTTAGTTATGGTAAGGCCTAGGTATGTGATGGTTAGTTATGGTGAGGCCTAGGTATGTGATGGTTAGTTATGGTGAGGCCTAGGTATGTGATGGTTAGTTATGGTGAGGCCTAGATATATGATGGTTAGTTATGGTGAGGCCTAGGTATGTGATGGTTAGTTATGGTGAGGCCTAGGTATGTGATGGTTGGTTATGGTGAGGCCTAGGTATGTGATGGTTAGTTATGGTGAGGCCTAGATATATGATGGTTAGTTATGGTGAGGCCTAGGTATGTGATGGTTAGTTATGGTGAGGCCTAGGTATGTGATGGTTAGTTATGGTGAGGCCTAGGTATGTGATGGTTAGTTATGGTGAGGCCTAGGTATGTGATGGTTAGTTGTGGTGAGGCCTAGGTATGTGATGGTTAGTTATGGTGAGGCCTAGGTATGTGATGGTTAGTTATGGTGAGGCCTAGGTATGTGATGGTTAGTTATGGTGAGGCCTAGGTATGTGATGGTTAGTTATGGTGAGGCCTAGGTATGTGATGGTTAGTTATGGTGAGGCCTAGGTATGTTATGGTTAGTTGTGGTGAGGCCTAGGTATGTGATGGTTAGTTATGGTGAGGCCTAGGTATGTTATGGTTAGTTATGGTGAGGCCTAGGTATGTGATGGTTAGTTATGGTGAGGCCTAGGTATGTGATGGTTAGTTATGGTGAGGCCTAGGTATGTGACGGTTAGTTATGGTAAGGCCTAGGTATGTGATGGTTGGTTAAGGTAAGGTAACTAACCTTAGTAACCTTAAGGTAACTAACCTCACCTAGCGTTAGTTATGGTGAGGCCTAGGTATGTGATGGTTGGTTAAAGTAAGGTAACTAATCTTAAAGTAAGGTAACTAAGGATGAAGTTTAATGTGTTGAACATCAACAGTGATAAAAGATGAACATATTTATATTTCACAGACTCATCATTTAATGTCCATTAAACTGAAGCTGAACATAAGGGATGCAGGATTAAGAGCCGTTTCAGGCAGATTATGTCGCCTGGATTATGTCGGTGGATTGTTAGCAGAGTAAACGGATCGTACCAGGTTGGGTTTGGATCTCTAAGGAGATTACCACTGTAACAAAGTCCAACATGGGGGAGATTTTATGCTCAAGTAGAGACTGTGTGAAACAATCCAGCACCAAAAGGGAAATTACATAATAAATGAAGATTATTTAGATTTTACAGACATGAGGTGCTTTTTTTCTCTCTTTGCCAGCTACAGTAAGTAAATCTGATTCACTTTGGTTATTTAATCAAATTCCAATTTTAAAAATGTCTGCCTGCTTCATGTCGGTCGTTGGGTCAACTCATGACACCAACTGGTTCACAGCAATTTAACTTCAGAGTAATTATAGTGACAATAATAGTTCATTTTAATTTGTGTGACATAAAACTGCAGTGATGATTTTATTTCATTTATTTGTTTCCCTGAAGCCAAAATAAATGTTGGATGTTTTACTCTGAAAAAACAAATTGAAAACTCAATATTCAAAAAGCAAAACACCCTTTTATAAAGGCAGTATTAATCATTTTTAACTCAAGTGGACCTTATTACGAGCCGCATAAAGTTCAGATAAACATTCAAATAGCAAAAGAAGGTTTTAACAAGTATACACTTTAGTTTACTTGGCATTTCTATACAAGTTTAACATAAGTTTGAATAGATGAATAATAATTTACTGACAAATAATCTTAGATGTAGATTTAAAACTCAAGCAACCAATGATGCTTTCTCCCAAGAAAAAAATTATCCTAGGAAAGGCCAGAACAGGCCAATAACAAAAATAAACATTCTTCAAAAATTACAAAAAATATAAATATATTTTTTTCTTGGCCTCATCTGGCCTCCCCTATATATTTTTCTCTATTATATAGGGGAGAAATGTAATTTGAATTACATTTCTAATTGTATATTTGATGTTTGCAAAATTCTATAAGTGTATTTATTAATTGTATTTATTAATTTATCTCCTGATTGAAGAAGATGACCTGAACATGATTCTCTGGGTGGCCAACATTTTTCTACAGGGGACCATGGCACCATCTGCCCCCCCCCCTATGAAGTCACCACTGCAAACAGAAAAATATGTAATTTATATGCCTGTAAAAAATCCTTAAAAAAATAAACTGACAATCACAGAGACTTGCGTACAGAGCATGAAAAAGCACTTTTACATTATTGTTGATTATTTTATTTCTTTATTGAGTCCAACAATTTGTGGCATCAGTGGTTCAAGGTTTTCTTTCAGAGAAATATTGAGAATATTCCTTGGTTACTTTGCAGATCTGCTTCTGCTTGTTGCATCCAGTAATTGTGAGTGAACTTTGAACATTTGCAGAACAAACTCATGAATACTGATATTAGGAAATAAAGCACCTCATGCAGGTGCCATGTGACATCTGATACAAACCCAGCGGTTTGTCAAATATTAACCAGCATTAAAATCATTTTTTGAATCATAAAACTAAAGTAAACAGAACAGAAATAAGAGTGCCATTAAGAAAAGAGAGAATTAAACCAAAGTCATCATGAAAAATGCATTTTGTTTGTATTAATGAATTAATTGAAATGGTTCTGAATATTCTGGTCTTTCTGTTATTAGTATCCTTGAGCACATCCATCTGCTCTGGGATCTGATCCTGCCACAGCACCCTGGGTGGAGAGCCGCTTTGAGACGGTGTGACTCCACCAATCACCCAGTCCACCAGTCTGTTCACGCCCAAACTGAGCCCTCTGGTGGCCACAATTTGGAAATACAACGGTGGTTTAAAAACATTATTCAGCTTTCCTGAGTTAAAACTCCAATCTCAGGCTTGTTTTTCAACTGAAATTACAAAACTGTAGATATTTGTGTGCATTGTCTACAATGATTAAAACAATTAATCGTGATCAATACAATATTGTCAGTTGTAGTAGTTAAAATTATTTAAATTAAAAAATTTTACGTTCCATTTTATGACTTTTTTTGTTATTTAACAGACATAATCTGTTTGCACTCTTCAGGAAAGTGATTTAACTTCTGTGTCTCATTTAGGGAAGAGAAGAGGAACAAATACCAACATCCTGCTTGTAAAAGGAACCAAATGTTTTATGGAAACTGTGGTTTATTG